GGCGTCTGCTGTGGGTAGCTGCTGTATTCCTGCTTGATGGTATTGTCAATGGTCGCACGCGAGCCCGCCAGCATAGCGCTTGTATTGTTGTATTTGGTCATGACTGGGAGTATTTAGTTGACTCCTTCACTGAACACTTGACAGGCACTTCACTTCACTTCAACACGCTCCACAGTAGGCTTTCGATTGAATGGACACGGTAGCAAGACAATAAGCACGGCAAAGAGATCGAGAACGAGAACGAGAACGAGAAGGAGACGAACCGTCGCCCGCAACAAACGCAACACATTTGAAATCTTGCCCAGATTCACATGTGCTCTGTGCTCTCAGATCTTGCTGCGTTTTGAGTGGCTGCTCGGCGCTGCTCTCGAGTGACTTCTATTTATAACGCGGCACGCCATTAGACGCTGGCCGCACTCGTCTTCTAAACAGAAGGACGCGCATGTTGTGTGTGTGTGTGTGTGTGTGCTGCAGGCCACGCCTCCAACTAACTTGATGCTCAGGCTCAACGTATTTCTGCTCAATGAAAATGTTGAATGTTGTTTGCGAAAGGCTTAGCATATTAGAAGATCTCGTTTATTTATGGCCAGCGCCCTGACGACTAGTCAAATAAATTTGAATACTGGAGACGGCAAACAATTCGTTAATGTTGACAGAGAAAACCACCCAACCCAACCCAAACCAACCCACCCCAACCAGCCAACCTTCCCCTCCCACAATGTCGCACACCTTGCCATTGAGTTTTTCCAATATCATTTTCATTGTTATATTTTTCGTGTTATCCGTCGTTTTGTTGGCTTCCCGTCAAATTGACCAGAAAGCGTATGAGAAAAGAAAGCGGAAAAACTAAAAATTGCCTTTGCCTCCCCACATATAATTTGTTTATTTATTGCCGCCCAAACAAAATATATATCTTTGGAAATCACCTCTAAATCTTCTTGAATGATATTGTAAATCTTTTGTCTAACGGCGCGTGGTTTTTTTTTTTTTGTTTTTTGTGCATTTCGTTTTATTTTCCATTTTCACTTTGTTTTGATTCTACTTTGTCGCAGCTTTACATTTGTGTTTCCCACTCGCTTTTCCGCTGTCACTTGAGTTTTGAGTTGATAAATGTTTTGTTTTGATTCGCTTTGATTTTATTTGGAACACATCAAGGTGCTGGCTTTTCACCAGAGTTGTTTATGACAAGCACAAGATAATCCCAATAGAAAACCGACTCTTCCTAATTGTTTTGTAACAAGCTTTTAATAGTCCTAACATAATACCAAATCTAAACTTGGGCTAGTCTATTTATATAGATCCCAAGTCTCTAAGTATCAAGCAGCCATAAATCTGACGAAATTGAGTTTCAATGTGGTTTTCAAGTTTAATTTGAATTTTTTAATTAATTGTTTAGTGTTATTTTGCACTGCTTAGATAAAATTAAATTATTTTGAAAATTTTATTTGAAATTTGTTTTTTTTGTAATATTCTTTTGCATTCGCCATATTGCTGTCTCTCTTTCTCTTCCGGTCCACCCACTACCCGTTGCTCTCTTACACTATATAACTTGCTCTAGCACTCTTTCTTTCTCTCTTTATAACATCTCTCTCTCGCTCTCTCTCTCTGTCACTCTCTTACTCCTTTTTATATATGTTTTCACACTTAACGTTTATTTCTTCATACTCCTCTTAAGACCCATTCAATTTTGTATGCTGCTACACCTCACACATTTCGCTGCTTTTCTTGCGTACAGGGTACCGCGTTAGTCGATCACTCTCAACTCCAGCTCTTGCTGTTTGTGCCTGTAATTGTTTTCAGTTGGACATTAGAGAACTACGCCAGTGCTGCCCATTAAGCACAAGGCGTAATTAAAAGACTAGCGCCATCTCTTGCTCGAGTTTCTCATGGTTTAGGTATTAGCAAGTTTTTAAGCCTTATATATAACTGTTGCATACTTTTACGATGCAAGACGCAATTTAAGCTAATAAGAAAAGTGCGCATCAATAAGGTATTTTCTATAAATAATAATAAGTTTAACGTATGCATTACTTAAATGATGAGTATTGTCAAGCAAAGTAAGAAAATAGTCAATTAATAAAGTTAATTGTGCAAGCGTTCAACACAATTGTTATCAAACTTTTGTTGTTTGTCAGCAATGACAGAATTTTCGAGTTACTGATGAAACTTTCTGCACAGTTATCAACACTTTTTATCTCAACTCTGGGCGGGGGTCACATTCAAAAGAATCATTGAATTGATAAATTTACCATTAAATTTAATTAATATGCCGCTAGTTGACAATCAAATACGTCATCTTGCAGTCACGTGTTGGCTTTACGAACACCAAATGCAATGTTTTGTTTTTGTTTTTGTTGCCATGGTCGCGGTCGTGGCCAGTGCTTTCTGCTTTCCATTCATAAAAATGTGCAACATGCGGCAAGAGCGCAACACAATTACGTCAGCCAAACAAATGTGTAGGCGACAGAGATGCCGCCAAGTATGCAGGTGAGAGCAGTTGAAGCGCATGTGCTGAAAAAGAGAGAGCGAGCGAGCGAGAGAGCGAGAGAGCAGGGCTAGCATGCAGTATACAAACGTGTGGAAGGGAAGCTTTCTTATCATAGCTTGCCTCAAATCACGGGCATTGCCTTTGCCCCAAACGGCAACAGCTGTGCATGTGCCACAAGACGGAAAGAAACAAATTTAAGCCCAAGAGATGTAAATGCGCAATTGAACATGCATGTCTGTACATGTATGTATGTATGTATATGTGTGCATACACATGTACACATTGTGCTTAACGTAAAAGTAAAGAAAACAATTTTACACTGTTTTTTGTGCACTCAGCTAAATATTTACGATCCTACAAGCGAAATGCTGAATGGTTGCTAGGCGAGGGGAAACGGAGCGACGCGAAGCATTGCGTGGCAATATTTGAGCGCGGAAAGGCAGCGCCAAGCACGCAGTTACATTGAAGCCGTCGCACGAGACGGTCAGGCGCGCAGCTCGTCGAGAGTGATTCGGATTGTGTTTCGCACTCGCATTCGCATACACACATACACACATACACATACATACGCACACGCATGCTGTGAATATGTTGCTGTGACATGTAAACAAAACAAACAGAACATAGAAGATGCTGATAAAAAGGACGTCAAAAGCTGAGAGTGCAGTGCAAAAGTTGAACGGAAGTTGATAAGCACAAGCGGATAATTGCCAAAGAGCCTAGAACAGGCGGCAACAACAAAAGCAATAATCACTGTTAACCGTTAAGCATTAGCTGTGAAAGCTGCAACAAATACGCAGGTAAAAAGCTGCAGGCGCAGCATCAGTTGTGTTATTGAAACCAATGCGAATGTATGTATGTATGTACGTGTGTCAGCATGCCAAATGTTTATAGGCCGCTTGAGTGACAGCTCGCGGCTCTCTAAACACATGTACACACACATACACACACACTCACATGCACCGACCGAAAGCTTCAGTGTCAACACATGCTGTTATACAGTTGTACTTTCGTACGTGTGTTTGTATGTATGCATGTTGACATTGTTTTTGTCTTACAACTCTCATCACTCTGGCTGTAATTTGCGCGCGCTCTTATCAATGTGGCGGCATATGTGTGCGTTGTTGTTTTGTCTCCTCTTTACGCTCGCACACCCGTTTCTCTCTCGCACAATAGCTAATTTGCAGCACTGATCGCTCTCGTTCTCTCTCTCTCTCACTCTCTTGCTCTCTCGCTCTCTTTGTCAACACTTACAGTTGTTGTCGGTGCATCAAAACAAACTGAAATCTAATAATACAATTTATGGGCCAAGCAATCAGAAGCAGCCATGCGCTCGTGGGATGCACTTCCCATCAGTTGGGTCACGAGGGGCGGGCGGGGCAAGGTTTATAGATAGGCATTATAATATAAGGCGAATGAACATATTTATTTCGCTTAGCTTAAAAGCCCAAACATAACCCTCCAAGGGTGTTGCATTTCAAGGTCACCAGCTGATCGAGGCGAAAACTATTTACCGAGAACTACTTATCAGCCAGGTATTCCCAGCCTGACTGTTAGACACGAGCCATCTATATGTTAATATATAATATATATGTATTTGCGAATGTACACAAATACGTTTACTTTCATCAGCTATGCACACAAAGAGATTCGTTTGAGTTTGTCAAAACTTTTGTTTTTATCCCATTAACATACTTAGTTGAGTATACGACATAAAAGTTATAGGGTTTTCAAGGTGTAGCTGCTTAAGTAATTACAGCAAAAACAAAGCCATAAAAAACACAAATTATTAATGCCTTAATACCAATGCATTATTGCTCAAATTTTATTATATTTAAAACCGCATTAAATTCTAGTTTATTAAGCTGTTAAAATGCATTAATATTCATATATATGCATATATATATATATATACATTTAACCAGAAATTCTTGCTGGCTATTTTCAAACATTTTTGTGAACAAAATATTCATTTCTCTTTCGGGGCAAATTTAGCTATTTAAACAGGCTTGGCATTCAAAATAGATTGTGTTTGTGTTTGAAATAAGGCATATTAAATAATAAGCGCAGCTCGTTTATAAATTTATAAGTTATATATATTTTATATGTTTCAAGCAAAACAATGCGACAGCTTTTCGTTATGGCATACTGAGTTGTAGGTCCGATCGAAATGTCAAGATCTGGAAATTAGGCCAATTGTGTTAACTGGAAGAATGGAAACTAGAGGAAACCCTCAAACATTAAGATAGTTATTGTTTACACTTTGAGTTATTGGGAGTCGAAATGTCTGCACTCAACTCACTTGAACCTAATCACTTTATCAAACAAATATTTTGTTATTGTCTTTTTTTTCGCTCTTATCGAGCAGCTCATAGCTATAAAATAAAAATAAATACAACTTTTGGCAAATAGTCTGTCTGCGAGGAGTTGTGCAAGTATTCCACAGCAAACGTACGGCTTATCAGGGCCACGTCGCGTCATATAATTGAATGTTATCAGAAAAAAAGAAGCGTTTGAATTGCTTATCAAAGTGTAGTTGGTGTATTTATTAATTTATTAATCAGCTGCTCTCATTCAACTGTAATCAAATTGCATTTAAAATATATTTAAGCCTCGTATTTTTAGCTGGCCATTTGAAATACGTGCCCGACGTGTTTGAATTTGTCTGTAATAAAATAAATATACATTTAATTGATTCGTTGAAGTGCGAATTCGCGCTGTTTTCGTGGATTTTCATTTCAAGTGCCTTCATAACTTTCACGAATTAGTCGAGCTGTGCACTCGAACAATGCGGCTGTCCGGATGGAATAGGTTTTTGGCATAGCGACACGTTGCAATTAGACAGACACGCAGGGCAACGTCAAGCCCAATTGATTGCTGTGCATTTGCTCTAAACGACAAATAAAAAACAATTGTTTACACCAAATAACAAGCAATAAGATACAATTGTACACATTAGATACAAATGCACGTAATGGGAAATGAACAATGAATGAATGGTACATGCGTCTGGCACATGGCAGCGTGTCTGCTTTTATTTGCTTTTATTAGTTTTGTTGACGAATTTAAGCTACACACTGTGTCACATACAAACACACACACACACATACACACACACACACACAGTATCTTGTTAAATTAAAAATTTGGTATACTACTAAAGCTAAGGCTCGTATACGGCTGGCACATTTCTGTGGCGCCTGTTACCCGAAAAAAGAAACACAAATAAAAGTATAAGAATGTGGCACACAAGCGAGCAATTAAAGCCCCCCGCAATTGTCCCCTTATCTATGACCCGTGCACTGTGAAAATGGCAACCTTGAACCGTTTGCAAAAAACTTTCACAATGAAAAAAGTTCAGTATCAAGGACCCAGAAACGAGCAGCATGTGTCTCTTTGGTTTCTCTCGCATAAGCGTGCACACACACACATGCAAACAATCTTACACACTAGTATAAACAAAATGTTTGCTTGGCTCAACGCTGCGTATACGTAACGTACCATAGAAAATGAAAACGCTCCGCTGTACGAGTCGGCATGTCCGCATTTGTGCATATGTATGCGAATTAGTGTACACACACATACATACATATATGCTTGTATGTATGTATGTCATCTCGGTGATGTGCGTGTGCGTCCTCTTAAGGTATTTAAATCTTTTGGTTATTTTCCATGCGCATTTTTGTTTTTGGGTCAGCGAATAAATGCCTCAAAATTATTTAAGCAAAAATCCAAAAAAAAAAAAAAAAAAAAAAAAAAATGTAAATACGCTAATATTTAGAAAGAGCGTGTAGAAAACAGAAATCGCACACATTCATAATGCTCGCTGTCCGGGGTAGACGATAATCAAAACAAAGTGTGCAAAATGTTTAAATATTCATGCACCAATACATACTCAGTATGCATGAACATGCTATAAAATCGCTAAAAATATCAAACATAAAACATGCACGCACACACACATACATACATACATACGTAGGTCTAAAATTGTGACAGCCAGACCAGCGCGATACGAAAGAACTGAGCGCCAAACACGCCGGGCATTTCTGGCTTCCCGTCCCAATTATTATTTAACAGCTGCGCAGTTAGAAAGGCCTACAAAATCCAGCAACACCCAATCTAACCATGTTTGCCAAAAATAAAGAAAAAGAACAACTCAACTGTACAACTGGGCGTATTTGTCTCAATGGTGGTTTATTTACTTGCTGTTCTGTGTGTGTGTGTGTGTGTGTGTGTGTGTGTGTATGTGCGAAATTATTTCTTGTATACCGTAGAAGCTGCTTGCTTTAGCTGGCCAAATAATGCTGTCGACTTTGACAATATATTAGCAGCTTAGAAGTTATATCTTGTCTGTTTATCTAAAACAAACTGTTATGCATGCCAATCCACAAGGAAATATTAAGTTTGCAGTGCTTATGAGAATCGCAAAGAAAGGCAAAGCTACAATTGACTGTGATATTATATTATTATTATTGTTATCATAAAGTTAATGGAGAACTTCGTAGCGCATAAGAGAAAGTTGTTAAATATATTAGTCATATTAAATATATCATATCATTTATGCCTCTATGTTTCAAAATAGAATTACATACATAACCTAACCACATGACACAGAAATAGAGCATTTCTGCAAATAGACTTGCGATATATGTCGATTGTAAGAGGAACTGTGTAAGGAACAAAGAAAAAACAAAGAACAAGTAATCTTCTTGGGAAACACCGTTGTATATGGATTGTATAAAGATTACAAATAAATCAGGCAATAAAATACAGCAAAATGTTATTGCCCTTAACATTAGCAAAAGTGGGCTACATGATTCGCAATATTTCCAATCAGATTTTAATAATTCTAATCAAATCTTATTATCAAGAAATTAACTATATAATTCCCAAGTCAAATACCACTTAAATATATTGAAGTATTTTCAAGACATTTTTGCCGTGTCATTTAACATTAGATTTAGCACCTATTAAGTATGCATATAAATAATTGCCTACGCCTAATGGGCGACTTTTTTATGGATCGTGTTTAAAGCAAGTCAGCTCTACCCTATGGAAAAGCAAAAGAACTTGTTCGATTCAGTTTCACGAGGGAGAGAGAGAGAGAGAGTGAGGGAGCGGGCTATGTATCTGCTTTGTGAGGGCGCCAAACAACAACAATTTGAATAAACTCACACACACGTGTGTATTTACTTTTGTATAATTTTTGAGTAGATTCACAGATAAGTCTATTGCGCTAACGCTGCAGACGACTTAGACAGAGCGTCATAAATATTTATTGTACTATACATGAATTTTTTTTTCTCGCTCAAAAATGTTTTCGTTTTTCGCACGGGCCGCGCGGCTGTTTAATTTGAACTTAGGATCGTCAGTCGCGCGGTTTAGTTCCCGGTCACAATCGGAACTATTCAGTGGCAACTTGCGAACGGTTCGCATAAAAATATTAATTATAAGAAAAACAAAACAATTGCAAGAATACATATGTAGAAACTAATAGAGATAGATTCGATAGATCAAGTAAGCCCTATATGACATGAAAAAGAAAAAAACATTTAAAATTGTAGTTTTATGTAATATGTAACAAAAAGATTGACTAAATTTTTCCTCAATACAGAGACGGCGAAATCTGCTAAGAACTTGGGCGTAAAATGAGAAACGTGAGATAGCAGCAACGCGTTGCATGCCCCCATCCAATATACCTCCAGCATGCCAATATAGAAGCCGAGCACTACACAGAAACAATTATACATTAAACACGTACATATTTCACATCAGAATAAAATCAACAACAAGTTAGTTCGGCAAAGGGCTTAAATTAAGAGTGTGATAGCAATTTCTTTTGGACACATTATGGCACACTACAGCGGACATCAGGCTCCGACCGAGGTGCCCGCACACTTCAAGAATCTTTTCACCGATGGCAAATTGGGTGATGACGATGATAGCAACAACAACAACAACAACAACAACAACAATAACAACGATGGCAACAACGATCAGGAGAATCGTCCCGATAATGGCAACAACGACAGCCACGCCGCCTGCTGGGTCTTTGGCTACGGTTCCCTGTGCTGGTATCCGGGCTTCACCTACACCAAATGCATAACAGGCTATATACGAGGCTATGTGCGACGCTTCTGGCAGGGCAACGTAACGCATCGTGGCACCGAGGAAGAGGTGAGTCAAAACGAAAGTTTAAAGTTTTCCATTAAGTTAGTTGGCCCTAGCACCTGTGACCACTTGATGGGCGCTCATCCAGAGAAGCACAGATTTTTGTATACATGGCATTTGTGGCCGATTCTCTGTTTGTATTATTATCTAATTAGTATGTGTTATCAGTAGCGGACAAAACGAACCTAGACGCAAATGGCTAGACAGAGTAAAATTTAAATACTTGTCGCCTTAGCGTAACCGGCAGGTTCTACAGACATGTACAAAATACAGATTGAACGAGCTTCTTAAGGCGCGAACTATTCAAACGAAGCAACAACAGGCCTTTAAGTTCCCAACTTTATATATGCATATGTATGTACGTATGTTTGTGCATATATTACATAAAAATTGATCAACTTTGGTGCCCGTGCCTAATCGGCAACTTAACATCATTTATTTTTGCGTTCCGTTCTGCTATTTTAACGAACTATGTAAGTATGCATGTACATATATAAGTCAGGGTCCGATCTACATACATATCGACAATAAACAAATAAACAGAACGTGCCGCTTGCAGCTAGCCTCCACTCCCTTTATTCAACAATTTAATAAAAACGAAAGCGCATTTTGCATTTCCACATTTAAATATTTTTCTTTATTCTTTTTTTACAGCCTGGACGTGTCGCAACACTTGTTGAGGACAAAGAGGTAAGCGTAACCCCATTAAATATTTCCTATATAATAAATTATATACATAAATATACATCAGTTCTTTAATGAATGTGTTGTGTAAGGGTAAGGAGAAGAGAAAAAGTAATTGCGCGCGCTGCGTTTGAATTTCCCTACGTAAGCCCCATTCCGTGTAGGCGGGCGCTGTGACACGCCCCCCTACTCGTCCATATCTCATGTTCTCTGGCACATTTCCGCAGTCAACCGAGCGCATCAATTCGAGACCCTTAATAAGGGGTCTCTCTTCATTGGAGTACGCAAGGCGAAATACCGCGAAATATAGGCGAAATTGTAAACGACGGCGGGATCGTCGCACCAACTGTTTTTTTACGCCTTGATACTTTCTATCCTTGGCCCGGGGACTTTACCCAGGGTGATAAATGAGAGCTACTAGGAGCTCGTTTGTGACCCCGAGAGACAAGCAAGGAAAACTCAAAGCGGGCTAAACAGGTTATCGTTTGCCGCTATTTATGTGTGACGCACGCCGAAAAATGAGTTGGGAATTTTAAGCGTGAAAAATACACAACGTAACATGCACGCGCGCTCAACGAAATCTTTTTTTAGACAAACAAATTTATTTTTAAACCATGAAAACTATTTCACACTTTTTAAACGTTAACTTTTTTCTATTTTTTATTAAATCAATTGAATTTTGTTTATTTCAGGGCATTACATGGGGCTGTGCATACAGAATAACAGGCTCTACGGCTCTGGAGTATCTCAAGCAACGCGAATGCACATTGGGTAAGCATGCAAAAAAATATTTTAAAAATAAAAAACTCTACCTTATCTTCATTTATGAACAGGTGGCTATGCAACGCTTGAAACTAAATTTTTTCCCCGCGTCGCTTCGCATGACACACCCTTTAGTGGGGAGGCCGTCGAGGTGATGGTATATGTGGCTACACCGGAGAACCGACACTGGCTGGGTGATGCGCCACTTGCGGTAATAGCAGAACAAATCGCAAATTGCCGCGGACCGAGCGGACACAATGCGGAATATCTTTTGCGATTGGCACTCTTCATGCACGAGGAGATACCAGGCGTGCGTGATGAACATTTATTTGAACTAGAGCGTCTGGTGCTGGAGGAGATTTACCGCAAGGAAATCCCTCTATCATCTGTAATGGGTCGCAATCCTGATCGCATACGTCGCGACTCACACGAAGACGTACGCCGCCCGCCATCATTCGAGTTTACTTCCCGAATACCGGAGACAAAACTGCGCTGTTTGAATATTTGATTGTGGATTTGGTCTCAGCCACAAAAAACATGCATGTGGAATATTCCAAATATAATATCAATATTCACCAGCACAGGACACGAGAGTCTGTGACTAATATCGATGTATTCTTTAAATTGTAAATAATCATACATAGCCTTAACAGTAAGCAGTAACTACTCTCGATAACTGATCTGATATAGTTGTTAAGCCTTGACTAAGTTCTCGTAGTGCGTAAGTCGCGTCCTCAACGCACACATTAACATTTATATACAAAGTGCCCAAGAAGAGAAAAAAAAGTCCAAAAAGAAATGAAATAAAAACAATCAACAAGAAGCAATAAAATAAAAATCTAATAAGTGAGAGCGCTCTAGTCGGGATTGCCCAACTAGGAGACTAGGACCCTAAACCCTGCGCCGAACTTGTATTACATTCTTCCTCGTGTGCAAATATTTCAACCTGTACACCATACATACAAGAGTCTATACCCGACTTATACCCAAAAAACAGAATTTGATATCGATTTTCATCATCCTTGATCGATCAGAAACTGAGGATACACGATATTTCAAGTCTCCAGTTTTTATGTTTTCTTAGGTCGACGCGAACGGACAGACAAGTTGAGTGAATATGTATATTGTGGGGTCGGAGATGCCTTCTGCTGCATTGCATTGAAACCGTGTTACATTTAAAGAATCACCAAATTTTTGAACATAAGCTAGAATTCTTGATTCATTTCAAAACCCGGAACACTTACAAACTTTATTTTCATTGTTTACGTACTCGCTAAAAAGCTTAGCTTGGGTTTTTTGACCGTGAAGCAAAATTTAAGGGATGTTTGCCAAATAGTCCTTAATTGTGGCAGGGTCCAAACGCTTAAAACCGTTCTGATCACAGATTCCAACCTCAATGTTATCTGAAGTCATCTTTCCTTCGAATCCTTCCTTGAGAGTCAGAATGGCAGTGTGCACAGCGTCTTCCAGCTCAAGATCTTCGCTATAGCTACAAGCACAATACGAGCTTTATGAAGTTGTTAAAATAAATAGACATATACCGTACTAACCGCTTTTCCAAAAATGTTTTGCCGTTAACGGCATTTTTGCCCATTGCAGTGGCCTTCCAGGCAAAATATGCGCCTGAGGGATCCGATTGATAAAGATATGGACGGTCATTGTCCCAACCGCAAATCAATAGTGACACTCCAAATGGACGCACGCCACTAAAGAAAGTAAAATTTAGTTAAATACATTACTATAATGAAAACATATATTTCTACCCCGACTGAGTGTACTCCTGCATGAGCGTAGCCACGCGCTGCACGAGCTGTGACACCGGTATGGGTTCCTTGTAAGTGAGATAGTATGACTGGGCGATTTTACGTGCTTGCTTCACCAGTAAGCGGTAGTCGGGCCCCATGCCAGA